CCAAGAAACATCTATTGCACAGAGGATACTGATTGATAGGGTAATGTAGCCAGTCCTATAGAAAACAAACATGTTCCAAGGTGCACACATACTCTGTTTACCTGCTGCTCCATTCAGCCACTGTGAGCAAATTAAGATGAGACCCCCCAGAACATGCACCTTCACTAATGGCAGAAAACAAGTGTACCAGTTGCGTGCACACACAACAGTCCAAAGCAACAATAACTTGTAGTGAGTGCTGTGGTGACTAAATGGATGGGACCATCCAATACCTATGAGATCCTTTTCACAGGTACCTTATATGGAAGTACAGGTGAAACTCAAATAATTAGAATATCTTGCAAAAGTTCATTAATTTCACTAATGCAACTTAAAAGGTGAAACTAATATATGAGATAGACTCATTACATGCAAAGCAAGATAATTCAAGCCGTGATTTGTCATAATTGTGATGATTATGACTTACAGCTCATGAAAACCCCAAATCCACAATCTCAGAAAATGAGAATATTACATGCAATCAATAAAACAAGGATTGTACATAGAACAATATCGGACCTCTGAAAAGTACAAGCATGCATATGTACTCAGTACTTGGTTTGGGCCCCTTTTGCAGCAATTACTGCCTCAATGCGGTGTGGCATGGAAGCTATCAGCCTGTGGTACTGCTGAGGTGTTTTGGAAGACCAAGCTGCTTCAATAGCGGCCTTCAGCTCTTCTGCATTGTTCGGTCTCATGTCTCTCATCTTTCTCTTGGCAATGCCCCATAGATTCTCTATGGGGTTCAGGTCAGGCACAGTAATCCCACGGTCATTGAACCAGGTTTTGGTGCTTTTGGCAGTGCGGGCAGGTGCCAGGTCCTGCTGGAAAATGAAGTCAGCATCCCCATAGAGCTCGTCTGCGTAAGGAAGCATGAAGTGCTCCAAAATCTCCTAGTAGATGGCTGACCCTGGACTTAATGAAGCACAGTGTACCAACACCAGCAGATGACATTTTTTTAGATATTCTAACTATTCGAGTTTCACCTGTATATTGCTTTATTGGTCAAACCACTAGCAGTCCCTATAAATGCCATCATTTCAGGACCACAATGGGTTTATTTATCTGCATCTGAAGACTTTCAGTAATAGAGCTCATATGCCTATACTGAATATTTCCATTGAACCTGAACCCCAAACTTAAACTGGACATTAGCCATAAACCAGGTCTGGACAAATCTCTGGTGCAAGGGAGCCAACGCTCCTTAAAAACGACCGCTGGTGCCTAACATTTAACCCAAAACCGTTGTCATTAAAATATATTGAATCTACTTTTGGAGTGCTGGTGACATCTTTTGGAATTAACATTTAACCCTTTCCCTGCCAACGACATAAGGTATATGTCGGAACAAAACCATAACAGCTGGCCACGGCAGTATGCCTTACGTCGCTGGCATTCAGTCTTCTCATATAAGCTCATCGTTGCTTCAGCAACCATAAACTTATAGTAGAAGGCTTTCCCTGACTCTCCTCTGTAAACGAATAGCTTTAATCAGCGGCTGAGGGCAGCTGTTCACTCAAAATAAGCCCCCCCACCACTGTTCCTGCCTGCTGTGGTCTTTGTCCCCCCCCCTGATCCCCGCTCCTCTCCCCCATCTGTATCGGCAGAGGGGACCCCAGAGCCGATCCGGCACCCAGCGGGGTGAGGAGAGTTCCACTCCAGTGACAGGTGGGATGGGGCGGGGCAGAGCAGCTCAGGGTGGAGGATCGGTAAATTTGTGCAGAACAAACAGGGTGATCAGTACTGATCACTCTGTGTTTGTAAATAACAGCACAGCAAGTGATTACTATGCCGCCTGTTATGAATGAACAGGAAGTGCTATACATCACTTCCTGTTCATTCATGACTAATCACTATGTGCTCAGTTTATGAATGAACAGGAGCAATCAGTACAGAGGCTTCCTGTCCATTCATAACTGGGGAGAGTACTGTGCCACCTCAGTTTGTGAATGAACAGGAAGCCTCTATACTGAGTGATCCTGTTAATTCAGAGCGGGGCTGCAGCAAAAGAGATTAAGGTCTATGTCCTCGATTTTTTTTTTTTTTTTTTTTTCTTTCTCGATCATCAGTTTTATTAAAAACATAATTTAAAAAATAATACTAAACCCCCCCACACACAACATAATGTACACCATACTGTGGTGTACATCATGCACATGTGCTGCGGTGTTAGAACACATTGCAGTGCTTGATTTCTTTTTAAAACGGCATTAATTTAACAGTGTTGCAGCGCATGGCGTTGTGATGCATTGCTGTGCACTGAAACGCTGTGTTGCGATTAAATGTATTCCTGCATCATTTTATCACAACACACACCAACACCGCGCACAAACAGCACTGCAGCTCAGGCATTACCTCAACACAGATTTTTAGCATAAAAGTTGCTTATTTACAATTTTGCATTCCTTTCGTTACAGTATTGCAAAAAGGCGCAATTTACCTTATAAAAGTAGTGGTTACATCTTCTGTGTGCTGTACCTAGCCTGTGCAGAAAGCAGAGCTATGGGTGGGAACAAGTAGATCCTCCCACTACAGACTGCCTGCAGAGAACAACAGGAGGGGGCGGATACAAGACCAATGATCATGCAGGAGGAGAAATTGCAACAATGACTGGTCCTTATAGGGAGCTACCGCACAGAGGCAAATTGCAGGAGTTGTGTAATGCTGGATTACTCCACACATATGTAGGAAACATACAAACATTCAGGTAACAACACACATCGCTCTTTTATTTAGAATATATGTTTTGCCTTAATTACAGCTTTAAAGCCACGGTCACCTCAAAGTAAGTCCACCAGCTGCAGAATAATTCATACCAATAGAAGCCAAAACCTTTGCTCAGCGCTGCGCTGGTGTACAGGATTCTGAATTCAAGTACCAAATAAGTTCTGTGCCCATTGCAAGACTCCAGGTAGGCTTAAAGTGATGTCACTTATGTCTGACTGCCTGCCCAGTCTAGGTAGAGCATAGCACAAGCTACAGCATGCGATTTACATCCTACCTGCTTTGCCACTTCAGTTAGGAGGTCAGGAGAGGATCTACACTGTCTTTCATGAAGATTTGCCTTTAAGTGTTTCCTGGAAAGACATAAGGAAAACATGAACGTGCCCAGGAGCAATCATGTACCAGGAGCAATCTGTATCTGGTGATAAAGATGACCACGTACCTTTCAAAAGGAAGATTCTTAGCTTTTCCTTTAGTCCAGGAATCAAACAGTTGTATTTGGGTTCTTCCACTAAATGAAATCATAAATCTTATTAAAAAAAAGTTATGAAATATTTGGTCCACACAAAGCTGATAATTCAAATTCAGAAGAACAGTTGTGAGTTGAGCTGGATAACAACTTCGTACTGTGGGAGTTTCCAGCTCTACCCACTTGTTGCAGCCATTACAAGCGACAAGTCTGGATTTCTTTTTTCTATTTTACACCATTTTATTTATTTCACAATACAGCAAAGGGCAACTATCTTGTTAGACTTTAAAGTGCCAGAAAAGAAAACTTTAAAAAAAAAAATCCATTCCCCTGCCAGTGTGCCTGATCTACCCCTTACGTCCTCTTGAGCACCAGAAGTACAGTATAGTCTAGGGCACATTCAGCATCAGTGTCTCATTTTTAGTTTACATTGGTTATCATTGTTCAAAACCGATAATTTTACTGTAATTTAGTGAACTGAGCCTAATCTGTTGAGGATCTGTATTTGCCTTTCTTTTTTTAACAGTAATTGTTAGGGATGCACCGATATATCGGCCGAAAATGGCACTTTTGCCTAAATGCCGAAAGTGCAATTTTCCTGCCGATGCATCGGCGCATCCCAGGTTTCTCTCCTCCCCGCTGGGCGCTGCTCTGTGTCCCAGCGGGGAGGAGAGAAAGTGTGACAGCCAGCCAAGCGATGCGGGAGGAGAGCGGTATGAGCGGCCGGCGTCTCTCCTCCCACACCGCTCAGCCTCCTATCACAGTCCGGCAGAGCCGTGTGTGGGCGGAGACAGGCTGCGCTGTCACAGTAGGCTGAGCTCTCCTCCCTGCACCGCTTGCTCAGCCTCCTGTGACAGCTGTCAGGATGGAGAGCAGAGTACAAGCACTCGGTGATCAGTGATCACCGAGTGTTTGTAGATAATTGGAGGACAGAGTATGGTTACTATATCCTCAATTATGAATGAATGGGAAGTGATCTACATCACCTCCTTTTCATTCATAATTGTGGTTATAGTAAACATAGTCTGTTCTCATGTTATGAATGAGCAGGAAAACTCAGAGGATTCCTGTTCATTGATAACAGGGGATACAGAAAAAGAGATTAAGGACTCTGTGTCCTCAATCTCTTCTATTTTAAAAGGGAAATATCAGGGGTCTGTAAAAAATTTAAAATATTTAATAAAAAATTAATAAATAA